GATTAATGTTGTCCAGAATTCTGGTTTAACTTTAACAGTTTAATCACAAGAAAACAAATTCAATGTGTTGTAGTAGTTAAGGGCCAACTCTACTTTGGGACATCTTTGTTTCTCCATCCAAGTATCCAATGTGTGTACTTTGGGACAGTTGGAACAGTTGGACATCTTTGTTTCTCCATCCAAGTATTTTTAAATTCAACAGAGAAAACAAGTGTTTTTTTTTTATTAATACGTTCCTAAAATCGAGTTTGAACAATTGTTATACTTTTCATATTTTATGCTCTTTTCAATCCTCTCCCTGCTGGTGCTCTGTCTCGGTGATCCCACGGGTGTCACTGTTTCAATCCACCTCATATCATTCAGGTCCTGACAGTGACAATTTGCCCTGTAACAAACACCTCTTTAACACAAATGCACCTGTAACTGGATGAGCCCGGGTTGAAGAGAGACAGATGAGTTTAGGCTAAGTACGGCTGGATAACTCTCTAATTTTATTTTGTATTAATTTATTTCAGTCTGTGTTGACATTGACAGAGGGACATAGACATGCATAAAAACCTCTTTGCACTTTGGTGTTAATTAAATATTGAACAGTATCACATCTACTGTAATAAAATATATATATATTTTTGTACTCTTCTCTTGTTTCTCTCCAGGTATTTTTCACTCCAAGCCACTAACCCTCTGGGCTTCGGCGACTCGGTGCGAATGATGATAGAGTCAAATATCTGCCGAGAGGGAGGGCCACTCCCTGACTGCTTCACCACTCCACTCAGACAGGCATGGACAACCATGGAGAAGGTCAGATTCCCCGATTGCTGCCCAACAAAAAGCTCCTTAAATGTCACTCAGAGATTTTCACTTGTGTTGCTTGTAAGAGGACAGAAAATGTTGGTTCCTAAAGTACTGTATTTTATTAAAATGTCATCTGTGGTTCAGGTAAAGGTCCAGGATGTTTCGTAATGGACAGATAGTGAATGAATGTTCAGACACTTCACAGTTGAATAGTAATAATTTGAACTTCACACTGGTGAAATTGTTATGTGAACAGTAGAGCTGCTGCAACAAGCTGCCCCGTTGCAGGTAGTTTTGGATGTCGAACGAACAGCGTTCTACCCCTTCGTCCATTAGCACTTTAGACCAGTGGAACGTAGAACTATTCCAAAGAAAGGCCTTAATAAAAAATATCTCACAACTCTAAAGCCACAACTTTATAACTCCCAGGGACAAAAGTAAGATTTTTGTCCCTTTCCACTGGAATGGATGCTAACGCTAATACTTTCCACAGAACAATATGTGCAAGCACTACCACAATTTTCTTCTTCTTCTCCTTCTTCTTCTCCTTCTTCTCCTTCTTTTTCCTCTTCCTCTTCTTTTTCCTTTTCTGTTTCTTTTTCTGTTTCTTCTTCTTTTTCTTTTTCCTCTTCCTCTTCTTTTTCCTTTTCTGTTTCTTTTTCTGTTTCTTCTTCTTTTTCTTTTTCCTCTTCCTCTTCTTTTTCCTTTTCTGTTTCTTTTTCTGTTTCTTCTTCTTTTTCTTTTTCCTCTTCCTCTTCTTTTTCCTTTTCTGTTTCTTTTTCTGTTTCTTCTTCTTTTTCTTTTTCTTCTTCTTCTTCTTTTTCTTCTTCTTCCTCTTCCTCTTCTCCTTCTTTTTCTTTTTCTGTTTCTTCTTCTCCTTCTCCTTCTTCTTCTTCCTCTTCTTCTTCTTCCTATTCCTCTTCTTCTTTTTCTTCTTCTCCTTCTTCTTCTCCTTCTTCTTCTTCTTCTTCTTCTCCTTCTTCTCCTTCTTCTTCCTCTTCCTCTTCTTTTTCCTTTTCTGTTTCTTTTTCTGTTTCTTCTTCTTTTTCTTTTTCTTCTTCTTCTTCTTCTTGTTCTTCCTCTTCCTCTTCCTCTTTCTCTTCTTCTTCTTCCTATTCTTTTTCTTCTTCTTCTTCCTTTTCTTTTTCTTTTTCTTCTTCTTCCTCTTCCTCTTCTTCTTCTTCTCCTTCTTCCTCTTCTTCTTCTTCTCCTTCTTCCTCTCCTTCTTCTCCTTCTCCTTCTTCTTCTTCTTCTCCTTCTTCAAATTACTGATCTGTACTTGGGTTGGAGCCAGTGCTGTGTGGTTTGGCACATGAACGGCAAACTAATTATGCAAATAATAGTAAAAAAAAAAAAAACCACACAAACTTGATGAATAAACCAAAACAAACGGTTGAAATAGTTGTTACATTTGTTGTAGTAGAAACATGCATTTGAACGATAGAGAGGTGAATGGAGGAGCCATTCCTTGGTTGCCGTCTGCAGTCTCACCTTCAGGTATCACTGCTATATGTTGATATGACTATTTTATTACGTTTAAAGGTTTCGTACTGCAGGTCATGGCCACGGTGTCCTTTGATAGTATTTACAAGTGTGCGTACAATAAAAATAATCAAACCAAAAACCTCCACACTGTCATGTGCACATAAATGTCAGCAGCAAGCTTTTGTATCTTTTTTTTTTTATTTGCTTAGGTTTATATGCCAGGCTTTCTGACGAGCAACCTTTACTACAAATACTTGAGTGACCTCATAAACTCAGTGCGGGCGGACGAATTCGTGAACGTGAGCACTCCAGGTCAAGGCGCGCCCTCAGACAGTACCGACCGTACAAGTTCAAATGCCATGGAGGATGACCGTACAAGTTCAAATGCCATGGAGGGATCTCATATTCAGGTGAGCTGTCGTTACCTTTGACCCACGGCTTCACGATGACATTTAGATCTGTTCTACGGCAATAACGCAACAGTAACGGACGAAATGTTTTGATAATGCCACGGGGTTGGGATCCTTTGTGTTATGAAGTTGTTTCACAGACTGATTTCGTAATGTTTCACTGGTTGACGTCGGATTCTCGGTGTGTTTGCCACAGCAGGGTTCCAAAAAGGCAGTGATCAAAATTCTGAAGAACTTTGACGAGGCGATCACAGTTGATGTTGCCAGCTTAGATCCTGAGTCTTTGTACCAACGGCCTTACGCTGGGTAAGCTTTGAGTTTCTTTTTTGCTTCTATGCGTATGCTTTTTGTGCCTGCCAAGGTTTATAGAAATACGATGGCAGAGGCGGTCAGGGCAGTGACCCACCAAACTTTTAAATATAGTGTTTGCATCTTCTCCTCTTGTTAAATACTATTAAGAACCTGATTACATCTTATTTTTATCTATACAAAACACTGTGTGAGGTGCTGCCACCTAGTGACTGGAGGCTTGTTATCATTCAAGCATTACAGCAAGTGGTACACTTATGTCCAGCGTGCCATATTCCAATGAAAGCCCCTTACGCCCACCCCC